CAGGTATTAGAAGGCTATTATCAAACCACCCTCAATCTTTTCTTCTTCAGACTAAATAATCCTAGTTTCTGCCTTTTGAAGTCTTTGAAATAGCAGCAGGTGAACATTGAGTTGGATTATAACAGGTTAACATTTGAGCTGGTTAGAAGATGAAATCTGTTTTCCTGAAAAGTTCATAATGATGCATTTTCATTTCAGAATTGCAATGCAATCTTCTGCAAATGCTGCTGTAGTGTCTCAAAGAAGCTGTTCTTCTGGTGTCTCATAGTCTTATGTCCCATAAGCACCAAATTCCCTTTTGGAGAGAAAAGGCAGTGCGTCGTAGGAATCCCAGACTGTGGTGCATCAGGAGAGATGTAATCTGGCCAAGTAGGAAAATGTCATAGGCAGAAGAGGGGGGCGCTAAAAGGGCTCAGCCCCCCATATGCAGGGCAGCAGGTATGGCTAGACAGGAGCCCAGCCACAGGCTGCTGCTGCAGGGCAGGAGTGGTGTGCACGCTCAGATACCCTGCACAGCCAGGGTCACAGCTGGCTCAGCAGGCAGGTAAATTTCTTTCAATCTGATTTTTTTATGACTGCCTGGGCTGGGGGTGGGGGGTGTGGGAGGGGCAGATCGAGACCCCCATAGTGCAAGAGGGAGTGAGGTAAGGGCAGGGGCGAATCATTCACTCCTACACCTGCCTCGCTCCCTGCTGCACTGCGGGGATTGTCCCATGACCCAGCCCGGCCGGGGCCCCATTCACAGTGAATGGGGTCCTGTCCAGGCTGGGTTGTGGGACAGTCAGAGCCCAGCAGCTCCTCCAGCAGGGCAGTGCTGGGGAGCCAAGAGGGGGTGGGCTACGTGGCCCCCTGATCTTTGCAAAGGGCAAGGGCAGGCTGCAGCTGCAAGCTGGGCTCTGCTCCCTGCCTCTGTGCCTTGCTGCAGCTGCTTTGAAAGCAGTGCAGTGCTATGTGCATCCCAGTGCTGGGCGGACTGGGCAGCAAGGCACATGGTGCCATGCCGCGCCACTTTCAAAGCAGCTGCAGTGAGGAGCAGAGGCAGGGAGCAGAACCCAGCCCACAGGTACAGCCTGCCCTTGCCCCATCCAAAGATCAGGGCCATGTGCCCCCACCTTGGCTCCTCGGCACCACACCTCTGGCGGAGCTGCCGAGCTCTGATTGTCCCACGACCCAGCCTAGCCAGGGCTGCATGCACCATGAATGGGGTCCCAGCTGGGCCAGGTCATGGGGCAATCAGAGCCCAGCAGCATGGGGGAGCCAAGGGAGGGGAACATTCTCCCCAAGACTTCCCTGCGGTGCACGTGGTGGCAGGAGCTGCTTGTCCACGCCCCTGGATGAGCTGCTAGGCTCCAATTACCCCACAACCTGTCCCAGCCTTAGCACAGCCCAGCCCTCTCCAGGAACAGCCCAATACAGCCCCAGCCCACAGCAGCAGCCCGCCCTGCCCCGTGCTGATCCAGGCCACACACAGCCCCCATGCCTCCTGGGTGCATGCAGTGGCAGAAGCTTCCTCCTCCCCATGGCCCGGGACAAGACACGGCTTTGTCCCACGTCCTGTGCCCCGTGCCCTGCCCTGGCTGTGCCGGACCTGCCCCAGCAGCAACAGCAGAACAGTGACAACTCGGAGTGGGCACAGGGGTCCCGAGGGCTCCATCCTCTCCAGCCTGGCGGTGCAGCCAAGGCTGGCCCCGCTCTGGCCCCCCCAGGCGGTGCAGGGCTGGGGAGGCGGCAGATCGGTTAGCGCGGAGGGGGGTGCCAGCACTGGGCAATGACCCCAAGCATGGGAAGGGGCCCCGATCCCGGGCTCCCGCTTTCTCCCCCTGGCCCCTTCCTCTGCAGACTTTCCCACTGGGGAGGGGGGCAACACATGCACATGCGCGCTAACCCCCCCACAAATTATTTTCTCCCTCCTCCTATGGAGAACGTGAACACAAAACAACAGAAATACAAACTCCCATAAGCTAGTGCAGCGGTGGATCCAAATCAAAATGTTACTGTCCTCGGACGAAGGTTATTTTTAATGGAAAGCTGAAATCTCCTATGTAAAGCAGACATTAGTGAAAAGGTTCACTGTCTTGAAAGCCATTTTTCCATTGAAAGCTGATTGATCAGAAGTTTTCTGTTAATATCTTATTTAATATATCACATTAGCCTAACTTAAGAGCATGACCTCGTACTTAGAAACAGCAGTCAACTCCCATACAGATACAGAAACAGCCTGCACACACAGTGGCACTGTACTAAAACAAAAAAGATGCAAAGCTTTGCAGGGATATAACCTATGGCTTGTAGCACCACAGCTCATTGCATCACCCTCTGCTCACTTCCATGGGGCATTGTGAAATAATTTGTTTCTTCTCTGAGAGTGGTGAACAGAAATGATCTAGGACCAACATCTTTTCCCTGGCACCTCCTTGTGCTCTGAAGTGTGGTAATCTGCAACTGCAATTGACAGATACTTTTTTCTGGCAGCAGTGACCAAGAGACAGCAATATACAGAGGTGAGTATTTAGGAGCTGGCTTTTTCTGGCCAGCAACAGGAAACAAAAAAGTCAGCACTGCATGAACCAGCTAAAGCCATCTTTTACAGCTGATCCTCCTACCCCACAAAAAATTCAGACCAAGACTATGATCACTGAATGATGGGGATACAGTATGATAAAACAGAGCTGCAGACTCAGAACATTAATAAAAGGAGAACAACACCTGTGTAAGCTTTGGTCTGCCTTTGAGTACTAAAACATCCAGAGGGGCAACAACGGGCCCAAAGTGTATTGCTATCACCCTGTAAAAACTTCCCCAGATTGTTACAGGTGTACTGATAAACAGTTCAGGGTTGGCATACCACTGTCACTCCAGACCCCCATCTGTGATCAAACAAAGGCAAAACATCTGGGCAATCCAGCTGCAATCAACTTCCACAGTCAGAAGATATGCAATGAAAAGCATGGGGACACAAACATTTAACAGCACCAAACACTGCAGAGTGCAAGACACTGATGCACAGGGCATGTGTTATAGAACTGCACATCAGCATGGAATCTGTCCCCTTTCTTGCACACTGAACTGGGGCTTGTGTGCAAGATAGGCATGGGTGGACAGGTGGTTTGGGCTCACCAGGCGGCTCACGATTCTGCTCCTCTCAAAAGCCACGTCTTGACCCCTCTGCTATGGCCATAGCAAAGAAATTCTGCTCTCACCTCTTTTCCTCCCATGTTCACTTTCTGTGTAACCCAGATCCCTCCCGCTTCATTTTTCAGCCATCCCTGGATCCTCCCACCAGTATCTGAGCTCTTACTGTTGCTCTGACCACCTGAAATTATCCTATGCATCTACACAAATAAGTCACAGACTTTGGCTCTCAGACAGCAGTCATCTTGGTGTCCTCCCTTCACTCAGAGACTGAAACTGGCTCAGAAGTTCCTAACAAATTAAAAACAAATGTTCTTGAATGTCCTTGGGTCCCAACATGGCTGGATATCCCTTGAATGCAGCTGGAAATAAAAAAAATGCAACTAATTTCCCACATCATTCCTCTTATACAGGCTAGAACCTGCCAACTTCCAAGCTTGGTCAGATCTTAGAAGGGTGAGTTACCAAATGTTCTCCCCAATCATCATGCATGTGATATTATGAAAGAACTGGACCCTGTGGACGCTGCTAATCAACCAGAAGATCCAGGCAGCAGTTAATGCGGAAGCAATTATTTTAAAAACCACCTACTACATGCTCCCACTTTGGTATTTCATGCTCTCTTGGGAAGTACAGACTGAGCTGCAGTATAATTTTCTAACAGTCAACCTGTGTTACCCCAAAACCTTGGATTAGGAAACCAGTGGGTTGTTGAGAGAAAGAATGCTTGAGAGATGGGAGTTTCCACTCCATTTAATGTAGGTTTATTTAGCAGATAACACAATTTTATCCTAGGAAATGTACTAGTTATCTTGCTCCTATCCTGTTCAGATAGACCAGAGCCTTGTTGGACTATTCAGAGGCATAGGATAGCAGTTTCCCAAACTTTTCCAGCCCAAAACACACATTAACATTTTTTCCATGGCACACCTATTAAGGCATTCCCTGTCCCCATACTTATGAGCTCATTGCCATGGCAAAACTCCGTGGCACAGCTGTTCAGAGGCTCACAAACTGCGCATCCCCCACAGCCAACACGTGCAGCTGAATTTCCTTCTGCTTGGCTGGTTCTCTGCCTCCCCCACCCCCAACCAACACATGCATCAGTCTTCTATGAATAGCTCGCTGATGCGGCTTGTTCGTTAGCACAAGGAGGCTACAGAACTTTCTTCTCGTTAGTCCCAAATTCATGTGGCACAGCAGTTGAAAAGCACAGGCCTAGCGATCCAACCCTTTGCTCCCAGAGAACCCTTTGTTCTTTGTACCTTTTCTCTCTTTCTTATTCAGTATTTGTACTATTGCTACTGGCTGTTTACAGATTATGTCATCAATTTCTCACTATTGGATATTTCCCTAAAACCTGATCTGCATAAACATACCCGTACCTACATGCCTTACTTATCATCCTGTCTTTCTGCACATCCTCCCCCCACAATCATCCAGATGCTTTGACAAAATCGTCTCGCTTAGCTCGACCCAGCGGGTGACCTGCTGGCCAGCTCGGTGGCTATGCAACCCCTGGCAGGAGCAGACACTGGCAGCTTTATAGGGCCACCAGGCCCAAGCAGACGAGGGGACAGAGCTGCGCAGAGGCTCAGCCGGGCATGGGACGCCCCAGGCTGTAGGGCCGCGCAGGCGCAGGACACCACTCCGCTGGAGACAGTCAACCGCCCCCCCCACACCAAGCACAAGGCCCAGGCCCAGGCCGCGCCTCCCTCCCCGCCCCCGCGTCCCGTGGTACCAACAGCCCGCCCCACTTCCGTGCCCCGCCCCATTTTCGAACTTCTGGAAGAATCAGAGCTCGGTTTCTGCGGCAACGCATTGGGGGTGGAACGTCGAGCTGCCAATGAGGAGGGAGGGGAGCAGCCAATGAGCGGAGCCCAGTGCGAGTTTTAAACCTGCGGCCGTAGCTGGGGCTGGTGGTGGCGGTGTGTGGAGTCATGGCGCTGCGGGTCACCAGGGTAGGTAGCGGGGTGGTGAGCTGGGGCAGCCCTTCGGGGGGCGTCCCGCGCTGCCCCGCAGTTGCTCAGGGCGCCTCGTCTCTCCGCAGAACAACATGAGGGTCAACGCCGAGAACAAGCCCAAGGCCAGTGGGGCGGCGGCGGCGAGCGCCAAGCTAGGGGGTGCCGCGTCCAAGCCCGGCCTGCGGCCCCGCAGGGCCCTGGGGGATATCGGCAACCGCGTGTCCGAGGAGCCACAGCCTAAAGCTGCCCTCAAGAAGGTAAATTTTTGTGGGGGGAGGGGATGCTGCCTGCAGGACCTCGTGCATCCCCGGCCCAGCCGGCCCTGGGGGGGCTCTGCTCTGCAGATGGGGGGTGCTAGGTTTGCTTCAGGTAGTGTGGGGGGGGGGGCTCCTCGGCTAACTACCCTCTCCTACTGGGCAGGAAGTCAAGCCTACAGCTGAGGACAAGCCTGCTGCCAGGAAAGCTGCAAAAGCTGTGGAGGGCACTGCTGAGCCTCTGAAGGAAGAGGAGCAGGTCCAGGAACCTGCCAAGATACCCATCTGTGTGCCAGGGCAGGTATGGCATCAAGGAAATAAGGGGGGGGGGGGGCTGTGACCTGCTCGGTCTGCACCTTCCAGCTCTGCTCCCCTTCCCTTGGGGAAGCAGGAAAGTGAATTCAGTGGCACATAATGCCAGTTTAATGGTGGCTTCTTCCAAAGTACTCTAGCCATTAGTGGGACCTGAGCGCCTCCATCTCTAGTCTTCCCTCTTGTGTTCTGAAGTAATGTAGCACCCTGCCTGCAGGTGACATGGGGCTTGGGCAGGCCAAGCTCTCACTTAAAAAAGCCTTCCCCAGAGCAAGCAACTGAGGCTTTTTGTCTCTTGTCTTCTCTGTCTTGCTTCTTCCTCTGTAGGCCCACCCAATATTAAGTCCAACCTTTTCAGAGCTGACATTTTCCACAGGGTGCCTAGAGTCCAAGTCAAAAATGAGGTGAAAATTAGAAAAATAATACAGCAGTTCTTCTGTTGCAGAGAACTTGGGGGAACCCCCCCCAAATCAAATAGGAATCCATCACGCAACAAACTTCTTGGAGCTTACCATGTGAATCGTCATTGCACACCTAATGGTACTGATGTTGTATGGTACCCTAGAAAGGATCTTGAGGTTCCCCAGGGTGCTGTAACACCCTAGTTGAGAATTGCTGTCCTAGGGCCAGGCCACCTAAACAAGTACTAATGTTCCCTTCCCAAAGTATTGGGCAAGCTGAAACCCTAAGCCAGTGCAAACAGGCACTCTCATTTCATGACCTAGCCCATAGGGGAGACCAGATGAAATGTCTGACCTCCAGTAATTGAGGCTTTACTGGGTTGAAGCTGTTGTAATGCAGATCTCCTTTTCCTTCAACTGTTTCAGTGTAGAAATGCATATACCAAATGCTGCTGTCAGTTCAGTGGCTAACTAAAGGCTGCCCATAAACTTGGAGCACATCCTGGCTTCTGTTGTGTACCTCCTCCTAGGGGAAACTATAGGTAGGGGGGAAAACTCCTTTGCCAGAGTGCTTCATTGAAGTAGTACTACTGGCTTGGGAACAGCCTGCTTGTTTACTCCAGTTTAATTGCTGCTTGTGTGCCCTATTGTAAGATCCCAGACACACAATGATATGCTGCTGTAGCTCTGTGCAACTAACTCAATCAGTGTAGAAATATTTCTCCCAAAGAAAAATCAAGGACAGACTGGCAGGAAATACTGATGACCATCTCATATGTCTACAGCTGTTCTGGAAATAGTAGCTTGTCACTAGCTGGTAAGGGCTGAACAGCTGTCCTACATATCCCAAAATGTTGGGATATCTAGTAACTGGTCTGCTCTGAATATTGGTGTCACCTGCCTCCTTTTTCTCTAACTTGTCTGTTTGTACACTATCTGTCAAACTCTGTTTTAAAGGCCTGATCACCAAATGCTAATGGATGAACAAACAGCATGACCTTTAATTTATTTTGTATATAAACTCCTTTCTCTGTAGTTGCAGCCTCTATCCCCAACCCCAATGGAAACATCTGGATGTATGCCAGTAGAGGAAATACTGTGTCAAGCCTTTTCTGATGTGTTGCTTGATGTAGATGCAGATGATGGTTCTGACCCAAATCTCTGCAGTGAATATGTGAAGGATATCTACAAATACCTGAGAGTTCTTGAGGTTGGTATGCCTGCTAATTCTTTTTTTTTCTAGCACATCTCAGCCTTCTGCTTCTACCCTGATCCCTTGTAAAGAAGTACAAGGGCTAGTTGACAACTTTAGAAGAGCCTAGTCACAGATGTTCCTAAAGGCTTGCTAACGGGACCAGAAGGTATGCCAAACCTTGCATGACAAGTGCATGCATTGACTCGAACAAGGGTGCACAGAATATGGCCCACCAGCTGGATCCAGCCTGCTGGGCCACTTCTGGCCCACAGGGCTTCTCTGAAACTTAAGCGGCTACTACCTGACAAGATGCTAGTGGCAGGAGGCACTGGGTGCAGCACCAAGCAGCTCAGGCTCTGGTCATGATGTGACCAACCCCAACCTGATTTGCCCCACTCTTCTCTGCCATGTTCCTGCCTAGCGGAGGCTTCTGCCCTGACAACACTGCAGCTATTCCCCTGTGCACCCTCCATCTGAAAGGTGGAAATTCGGGTGAGAACAGGAAGGGAGGTGAACTGATGGTGATGGCCCCACTCTGTGGGACTTTGGCTCTGTGCTTCCACATGCTGCTCCCAGCTGGAGTACCAAGAGCACCACATGGAAGCACAGAGCTGGCCCAGCCTGATGGCACCAGACTTCTCACAGTTTCTGGTACTCCTAGTGTGCCACCAGGCTGGGCTGGCTTCATGCTGTGTCACATAGGTCCTGGCCCTGTAGTTAAGAGCTGCAGATGGGATGGGCAGGGTTGGCTGTCTCCTGCCCTTCCCATCATGTATACATGCATTCCCACCCACAATACAGTGCCAGAAACTGAAGTCCTGCACTATTGAGCTGGATGAGCTCCATACCTCCATATGGTGCTCCTGGCACTCCTAGCAGCA